TTCTCAGCCCAGCTCACTGCCCCCAGCTCATCTCTACCCGACAAAGCCCTCCCCGTTCTTCAAGGCCCAACGCCCCTTCCCCACACCCCCCACACCCTCCCAGTCGTTGGCTATGCCATTTCCCACAGGTTCTACACATTTCCATCCAAACCTGCCCATCCTCTGCGACTGCATCCTTACCCCAGAGTTCTCGGTAGGGATGCTCAGGAGGGGTTTCGGGAAGAAGGTGCAGAAGCAGCAGCGCACAAGTCCTGGGCTGGGCCACGTACCTAGTTCCATCACTCTGGGCCTCGGTCTTCTCATCTGCACAGTGGGAATGTGGAGAGGATCAGAGTCCTGGTGTAGGGGACCTGCTCATGTAAGTCATTAATGTCCACTCCTCTTTGCTTCCTCTTCTTTTTTCCATGTATGTATATTAAACTTTTTTATCAAAGTAGAATATATATACAGAAAGTTTGCATTATATATTTTTTTCAATGTAATACAGGTACCGGCTTCAAATTCAAATAGCAGCAAAGTAGGAAATATTCAAATAAAAGCAGCGGCCCCTGCATCACCTCTTTCCACCCTCCAGAATCTCCCATACATGTTTGCTGTAGAAAATGAGAAAATGGAGACAGGCAGAAAGAAAACCAAGTATAACACACTAAATCCCACTTCTCATTTTAGAATGTCTTCTCCCAGATGATTTAGCCATGCTTTTTTCCCAAATAGGTACTTATTGTATCTTTTCCGTGCATTATAGCTCTAATCAGAGTCCCCAATTAAAGGAACAAAACTAATACTTATTGAGTAAAAAGGTGCAGTGAACTGTTCAATTCTTGCTTCTCAAGGGTGTGGTCCAGAGACCAATAGCATCAGCACCACCGGGAAGCTTGTTAGAAATGCAGTGTCTTGGGCCCACCCCAGAATCCACCTTTTAACAAGTTCATGGTGATTGGAGCACACATGGATGCCTTAATGCTAGAAAGGTTGTGTAGATCAGAGCTACTCAAAGTTGCAACCCAGGAACTGTCTGCTATAGCCCAGGACAAGAGGCTTGAGCCAGGATGTAAACAGCATGCTGCTTCCTTTATGGAGAGAGGCTTGCTACAAAATACTGTCAGCAGAACTAAACAACGTGATTGATGAAGAGAACCGTTTATATTCTGGCCCAAGCTCCTTATCTTGTCAGGGACCAGGGATGCGCAGTTTGTGGACTTGGCACCATGGGCCGACCACACGTTGAGCAGCACTGTTTAGATCACGCAGTTGGGAAGTAGGGCTGGGACTGGGTTTCTCTGGCTTTAGAGCTGGCCTCTTCCACTCTGTGTATATCTGATCCTCCCACCCAACCATGACACACATGCACATGCATGCACGTATCTCCTAGGAGAGCCCTGGTCTGGAGTTGGTGATTAGAAAACATCTGTCTCTTGAGCAAGACTGAGGCCCCTGTTTCTCTATGTCTTTGTCCACACCAGACCTCTGTTTACATTCAAAGGGTTTTACACCAGGGTCGCTGTGCTTTTATCAACTCCTCCTGTCAGGGCCAAACAGAGCAGGGGACTTGCAGGGCGTCTGGAGTCAAGAAAAGCAGAGCCAAACAGCTTTGATGGACTTGGAAGGAGACAAAAACGAACTTCTTTGCTCAGCTCAAGTTCCCAAGGCAAAAAGCTTTCATATCCCAGGGTCCATATTTAATCCACTATCCACAAACTCTAAGCCAGGCTTCTTCCTGCAGAGACAGGAGCTGGTAAATAATGTCTCAGCCACTGGGAAGGCGTGGATTAGCAGTGTCAGAGCCAGCCTTGTCTAAAATGCCGTGTGGCATTTGGTCAGCCTTAGTGTCACTTTCACCAAGGAGTGCAGGGCGGGAGTCCCATAGATTTAAGTCCCAGGGTTCGCTTTTACTTGGATGTTGGGAAGACCCAGAACCTTTCATGTAGCACACTTAGTTATAAAACTTGGGAGTCAGGGTTTAAATTTTCAGTCCACTATTCTCTGGCTGTGTGACCATAAGGAAATTACTTAATCTGAGTGTCAGTGTCCTCATCTGTAAAGTGGGGCATAATAATATTGACCTTGCAAAGGTATTATGAGGATTAGTCACAATGTCAGTAAAGTACCTGGCACCAACTCATTCATTCACTCATGTATTCAGCGTGTCTATATTGAGCACCTTCTGGGTACCTGGCGGTGGGGGATACAGTGATGAGCTGGAGCTCACAGTCCAGCAGGGAAGATGGAAGCTGTCAAAGAATCACACAAACACTGAGCAAGCTGCAGTAGCTGCTGCAAAGAGAAGTGCAAGGAGCCTGTATTGGGGATGGGTCTAATCTGGGGATCAGGGAAGGTTTTACTGAACAGGTGATTTTGAGCTCAGATCCCAAAGATGAGTAGGAGCTTATGAGGCAAAACTGGCCAGAGAGAAGAGGCTGAGAGTATTTTACTTTTTGAGGTAAAATTTACACAGAGCAAAATTCATGAACCTTAAGGTACAATTAGGAGTTTTGACAAATGTACACACCATGTAAACAACACCTCTCTCAAAATATAGAGTATTCCTATCAGATTGGGTTTATCTTAACTTTTCCCCCTTATTATAAAAGTTAGGGAGCTGGGTTTTAATGGGGACAATTTGCTGTGGTGCTGACAATTAGGAGTTTTGACAAATGTACACACCATGTAAACAACACCTCTCTCAAAATATAGAGCATTCCTATCAGATTGGGTTTATCTTAACTTTTCCCCCTTATTATAAAAGTTAGGGAGCTGGGTTTTAATGGGGACAATTTGCTGTGGTGCTGAGAGATAAGGCTTCAGGCTAGGTTTAAATCCCATCCCTACCACTTTCCACACATATGGCTTTGCCCAGGTCCCCCCACTTCTCTGAGGCTCAGTTTTATCATCTGTACAATAGGGTTAGTTAAACCTACTTCACAGGGCTGCTTAAGGGGTTGCATCTGTAAATGGTTGTAAAATGCCCAGCTGGTGCTGGGCTTAGTGGGCACTCTGTGGGATAGCCCTGGTAGGAGTTTCCAGAGTGAAAACAGTATGGGAAGAAAGGCTGGCTCTTGCTGGCAGCCTTGTGATTGGAGTCGGGCCTTGCCAGGGCAGCGCCCCCTAACGCGATGTCTTTGTCCACAGGGATGTGTCTGCAGGCGTTTGTTGAGGCTTTCTTTTTCCTGGCTCAGAGGAAGTTCAAGATGATGCCACTCCACGAGCAGGTGGCCGCACTGATTGACCTGTGTGAGTACCACCTGTCCCTGCTGGATGAAAAGCGCCTGGTGTGTGGCCGGAGTGGCATGGCGGGGGGCCAGCCCCTGTATAGTGGCACTCCCCAGGAGACCTCCCCTCCATCCCAGCCAGCGGGGGACAACCCCCCAACCCGCACAAACTGTGCCAATAAGCTGTCCCATCCCAGACACACTCTGTCTTGAGGGTCACTCTGTCTCCCAGAAGAAGAGAGGACCCTTCAGGCCTGAAGAGAGCCCCAGAGAAAGGGCAGGCTGCTGAGAATTCCCATCCGAGATTCCTGTTCGTCATGTCTGTGTCCTGCCAAGTGGCACTTCACACACTGCCTAATCCTGCTGCCTTCCTCCCAGTGCCTCTTGGTGATCCACTCTGTTTGCAAGTCATCAGTGGACATATGACATCTAAAATGTGACAGATGGCACCTTCTGTTCTGGGCTCACGGGAAGCACCAACCTGGGCAAATCTGTTGTGTTTGGGGCACAGGGCACAAAATGTCTAGGACCGAGAGCTGCGGAGAGGAAACAGAGTCTTGGGCCTGCAGGGCCTCAGAGTGCTGACTGGTTAAAGCCCACGAACATCGTCTTCCTACCCCCGCTCTGTGAGAGTGAAGTGGAAATGTCAAGTAGGCGGCTGCGATCGCCCATCCCGATCATGTGCTTCATGGGTGTAGTTAACAGATGAGCCTCATCTATTTCATTAGCTTGCCTGTTGCTGCAATGTTCGGTTTGTTATTAATTAAGAAATAATTAATTAAGAACTAAGACTCCTAGAGCCTTGGAGCTGGCTGGTGACTCAGAGGTCATTTGTTTGATTTTGTTTAACCTTGACCTCAAAGCAGGAATCTCATCTTCAGCCTCCCTGACCAGATGGTCACGTGGCCTCTGAGTGGACTCCATGCGTGGGGCCGATCAGTCCAGGACAAGTATTGCTGGGGGCCTCTGTGTGCCCAGCTCTGTGCTAGGAGCCCTGGGCCAGAGGAGGGGCTTCAGAGGGCAGGAAATAAGACCCAGAGAAGAACCAGGGCAAGCAGGAGTGTCAACAGCTCAGGCATTAGACCTGATATCAGGAGAAGGGGAACCCACACTCTCCTTCCACGAGACCTTTTCCTTGTCTCCATCTGTGTCCCCAGGCAGCCCCTTCTCAGAGGGGAAGCCTCAGAGGCAGCATTCTGGAAATGGCCACAGTCAAGTCAGAGTTCAGAGTCCATTGATGACAGGCAGATAGGACTTTGCAAAGCCACATTCTCCAGAGTATTGCTGGAGTTGGGGGTTAATGTGGCCCTTCCCTTGAGAGCCCCCTTTAAAGAATCCTGAGGGCCCTGGGGAGAGCCGATCATCATACAAGTTAGGATGGAAAGTCTCTGAGGGCCTTGCAGGAGGAGCCTGGAACACAGTAGGATGCAGAAAATGCTCACCGGTGCAGAGCAAGGGCAAAGTGTGTCCTAGACAAGTTCACGTCCTCCTCCTCCCACTTCTTTTGCTCTCTTCCTTCCCTCTGACATCCCGTCTCATCTCCTGATCCAAGTCCCCCTCACTAAACTGATGAAAGCTGCTGATTTTTAAACCCAAAGAAAAGGTGGTTAATCCAAGATCTCTTCAACCGTTGGCAAGATATTTTAGAGCAAGAGTCCCCTGTTCATCCTTGCCTGCCCCTCCTTCCTGCCAGAAGCCCACTTTCTCGATGAGTAAGGCTGTTTCCCTGCTGAACGGCCACCACGCAGTGCCCTGTCCTGCCACCTCTTCCCTGCTGCTCCTCAGAGCCCAAAGGCCGCTGCCCTTCCCTGATCGAGAGGGGCCCTGGAACCAAGCCCTGCAGAGCACGCTCTGGGCTGTTCAGTGACAGCACACACTCGTAATAACAATATTTCCCCAAGCAGAAAGCAGGACAGGTGGCCTAAGATGGGGAAGGGCAGGATGTGCCTCCCGATGTGCACTGAGTGCCTCTTACATGGCCACATTTTACAGGTGTCATCTGCTCGATTCTCCAGTCACCTCAGGTAATTTCAAATGCTGTTCTCATATTCAGATGAGGGGAGAAAGGCCTGGATGTCACTTGGTCCAGTCGACTCTGTGTCCCTGGGTGAGCATGATCCAGCTCCACATGCAGACACCCGGCAGATCCACCCTGCTCTGGCGCTGCCTGGGCCCTCCAGGGCTCTGCTCACTGTCACAGTTTAGTGGCATGGGCCAGAGCAATCAGTGCTCCCAAATGGCCCCCTGTGAGAAACTGAGTTGAAGACCCCACGCCTGCTCTTCTGGCCCCCTTTGGTGGAACAAATGGGTTTCACAGTGAAAGACCCAAGTGAATGTGTCTCGGCAGACGTTATCAGCTGGGAGTAGCAAGGTCTTTGAAACAAAGCTCTAACTGTACACCATTTCTCAAAGCTGGTCTTCAGAAAGTATTCACTTGCTAAAATGGAGTGCAAGTTTCAGGTCTAAAACCGACTAAGCACATTGAATTTTTGGAAAAAAAGAAAAAAATCAAGAGGTTGAATTCCAGCCACATTGGGTGAGCTGTCATGATGAGGATCGTTCTCTCCCACTCCTGCTCATCATCTGGAAGCAGGTCGCCCCGCCCACCACAGTCACTGTCCTGTAATGACACCCCTCCCTTTGCAGACAGGTCCCTAAGTAAACCCCACACCCCTGGAGCACCCAAAGTCTCAGCAGTGATTGCTAAAGAAATGAGGCTGCTATTTTATAAGGCAAGAAAGTGACAAATTGGACCCTTTGTTCCCAATACTGTTGGACAGAAAGGCCTAAGAGTCAGCTCCATTATCAGAGTGAATGGCAGACAACTTCTCCCACCTCCTCGGGTCCTAATAGGAATTCCCACTGTGTTTACCCCCTTTAGTAAATAGCCACTCATTTTACAGGGTGTAATTGAAATGATAGCAAAAGCAGATGGTTCCTTCCTCCTAGAGGAGAGAAAGCAGAGCCAGGGAGCCCGGGCAAGCCCTGAGATACTCCAGTAGAGCTGAGCCCCCTGTGCTTTGCCGTCAGATAGGCCCATTCCTTAGAAGGGCCTCAGGATCCCTCCCCAGGCTCTTCTCCCCACCCCCTCCTGCCCCTCCCCCCTCCTGCTGATGCCTGCCCCCATATGCACACAGTCCGGCCACACTGAACCTCTGAGTTCCTAGAAGGCTGGGCGCTCCAGTGGGGCTGAGTGAATGGGGAAGAAGATCGGGCTCGGCGTGTGCTCAGTTTGGGGTGTGCACATCCAAACAGGCTGGGCAGGTTGGTGGGGCCAACGGGGGAGGGAAGCTTCTTCCAGAATCCAGAGCAGATCAACAGAACTGGGCCCAACCCACCTGCTTCTGCCGGGCCAGCCCTGCCCCTCTGGTGTGCCCCTGGACAGCGTCCTTACTCCTTGCATACTGACGGTGCTGCTCCTGCCTTCCAGCCTCCGGGGGACAGGCTCAGTTTTTCTGCTGTGAAGGTGACAGCTTTATCCCTAGAGTGGAACCCATCATAGGTGCTTATAAAGACATGCTGGGGTCAGTGCAGTTTTTGGCAAGTGCTGGTCCCAATGGGCCCCTCCGCATGGCAGAGGCAGGGCCTCCTAGAGACAGGAACCTCCGTCCCCAAAACGAGCCTCCTTGGCTCCTCTTCTCCTCCAGGCGTCCGTCCTCTCTCCCTGGCTTGGAGTTCATCATCTCTCACCCGATGTCATCTGTCTCCTGCCTCTCACCCCTCCTGCCCACCCTCCATCCCTATCAGCCTGGAAGGACTACAGAGCTGACATGCAGCCCCCTACCGAAAGCCCCCTCATCACAACCCCTCAGCATCAAGTGTCTTCCTTTCTTTCCACCCCACAATCCATGCCTGGCCTGCACACCGTGGGCCAGACCCTGCGCTGCTGACTCCACGCTCCAGGGCTAGTGTCTGCTGACGTCAGACAGGAAGGGAGTGTGCTGTTTCCAGCCTGGTGGGCGGTGGGGGAGAGGGTGCCGGCCAGCTCCTCGCCCCCTACCCTTGCCCTTGCTGCTCCCTCTGTCGATGGCAAACATACTCATCTCTCAAGGTCCTGCTCAAATGTCCCCACTGCAATCCCCCAAGCAGAATGAATGGCTCCCTCATATACTTCCAAGAACCTGGAAAGTTCCATCATTATCATCGTTACCTGGGAATCACGGCATTCACTCCCACCCAGCTGTGAGTTCTGTCAGGGTCAGACATGTGCTGAACCCATGTGGGCCCCTTGGCACAGAGCAGAGGCCCCCCAGGTGCTTGTGAAGTAATAGGAATGTTCAGCAGGCCCCGGTGAGGAGCCGGTGCTGCCACGCACGTTCTCCCCTTAGCCTGCAGGTGCCCTGAAGAATCGTGCATTTCCAAACCTTGCTGAGCCAATTCACTGAACACCCCCCACCCCACCCCAGGCACGGCAACTGTCCCATGGCTCGGAGCAGACAAGGGCTCCTCTGACCCCAGGCATTCTCTCCATGGCCCTTGGTGCTCAGGTCTGGGCTGTGACCCCTAGGGACACCCCCTCTGTTTCAGTCTTCGAGGCTGACTGCCAGGCTGGAGGGCCCTCACCACTGCTCCTCCCAGCCGTTCAGCCTGTCTCTTCACCTCCACACCAGCCTGCCTTTGTGGGAGCTTGTTTAGTTCAGAGTGAGGTGAGTGTAGGTGATCAGGGAGCGGGAATGGACCGGGCGGGATTTTGGAATGGTGTTCTGTGCCTTTCGAGAGCCAACCCTTTCCTGCGTGAATTTAACCACGTGTGTTCAGGGCCTCACCGTTTACAGAGTACTCTTCCGTCCGTCCTCTCCGTCTGAGCCTCCCAGCAATCCAGCGAAGGGTAAGGCTCATCATCTCCCTGTTTTCACAGATGTGGGGCTGCTGCCCAGGAGGTTAAGTGACTCATCCGTGGTCTTGCAACTGCTGAGAGGCGCAGCCACTGGTCATGTGGAGGCCCCCCTGGCTGCAGACCCCATACTCCTTCCACAGCCCCTTACTGCTCTCCACAGAACCTCGATGCTCCTGACAACCCAGGGGGGAAAGGGTTTGGGCCCCATTTTACAGATACAGAAGCCCACGTCTCAGAGTGGCTGGGTGTTGGCTCAGCTAGTACCTGGAGGTCCTGGCGACTTCATTTGGGACAGTCTGACCTGCCCTTCCCACTGAGCCCTCTAGGAAGTCTCTTGAGCTATGTCCCCAGCCCCACAAATGGGGGTGATAAGTCCTCTCCCACTTGATCTTTGGGACAAGATCGTGGAAAGCATACTAAATGTGAAAGTGGTTTGTATCCAAAGTGCTGCTCAAATGTAGCGTTATCTTCAGGCTGGCTTCTGGCTTCCTGCAGAGTGTAAAGCATGAAGGTAAAAGCTCTCTCTTGAATAGTGTTGTCCATCAAGACAAATGAAGCCAAAACAGGCAGCTCTCCCCACACCTCCCCTTCATCCTCACGTGTTTAAAGACATTCTCAGGCTGAAAAACAGTTCCTGCCGCCCCTCTGACACCTGGAATTTGCCTTGTGATTGGCAGAGTGTTACTCCAAAATAGCTTAATTTTTTTCGTTTCTTGATTAATGTCCTCCAGTCCTTGGCCCTCTAATTGAGAGTTCGGCAGGCAATGCTCGGTGTTTGAGCACCTTCCCTGGAAGCTGAGAAATGATGAACTCTCCTGTCGGGGAGCTGCTACTCCCAGTGGCTCGGAGAGCTGTCCCCTTCGCTCAGCCGGTAAATTCACCACAGTGTGTACTAACGTAGGTGCCACCTCACCTTGATTGATAATTTTGCCAATCTCCTATTTGGCTTGACGAATGTGAGAGAAACTTTCCCATATGGCATATGAATTTCTCCCTCACAAAATAAGTCCAGATTTTTTTTTTCCTGTTCTAGCAGATAAAGCAGCTCTGCAGAATAGTCAACACATTCAGTTACTTTCATCTCTAATAACAAAGTCTTGATTTTTATATAACTAGAAAAACCATGCAGCATAATGCTTACACATACACACAGAGCACCATTGCGCTTTGGTATAAAATGGCAAAATTACTGATATTTTTCTCATTTCTGGCAATTTGCTTCTGAGTCTTATTTAGAGAACAGAGTTAAAAGGGCTCTCTGAAACCCTGGAGTGGCGTCACATGCTTAGCAGCAGACTCATGGGACACATTGCCTCTGACACAAAGGCATCTGCTACAATTCCAACCAGGGCTGTAATCTTGGGTCATGGGACATTGTCTGCTCCTCACCATGGCTCCTCCAGGCCCCTCCAGGCTACAGAGATAATTTCCCTTCAGAACCTCTTATATCAGAATGGGGAGAGTAAGAGCTGAGAATCCCAGAGGAGGCCGTGAGCCATTCTGGAAAGAGCAAGGCTTGGAGTCAGACCTGGGTCTGGATTTTGCTCTGTCTGTCACTCTCTCCCTGTGACCACAGGCCAGTGACTTCATCTCTCTGATCCCTGCTCCTTGCCTGCCCAGTGGAGATCATGTCATAACATATATGTAAAAAGCTTGGCATGGGACTTGGCACCTGGAAAGTGTCTGAATAAATGTCTGTTGAGAAAAGGAACAGTCTCGGTGTGCTGACACAAGAAGGATGCCAGGGGATGCTTCCACCCTCCTTGAT